TTTTTTAGTTGTTGATGGACATTATTTTATTTATTTATTTATTTATATGCAGTGCTGAGAATCAAATCCAGTGCTTCATACATGCTAAGCAATCACTCTACACTGAGCTAAAACCCTGAGAATTATTTTTTTTATTCTTTTTTTTTCAAGTTGTAGATGGACACAATACCTTTATTCTATCTATCTTTATGTAATGCTGAGGATGGAACCCAGGTCCTCATGTGAACTAGGCAATCACTCTACCACTGAGCCACAACACCAGCCCCATTAATTGAGATTTCTTTTGATATTTTTTAAAATTCTAAAATTAGTGGCTTAAATAAGATAGGTGAGGAGGAGGTTGTTTGTGTTTGTTTTACTTATATAAGAAGCCCAGAAGTAGATAATCAAACTCCTTTCCTAGAAGTAGATAATAAAACTCCTTTCCTAGCTGTTTGTCTTTTGGCTCTGACATTCTACTTTCCAGACATCAAGTTTACCTTCTGGGTGTTTTAGTTCATTTTCCCTGACTATAGTAGAATTCTTGAGTGAGTAATTTATAAATGAAAGAAGCTTATTTAGCTTATAGTTTCAGAGGCTAGATGTCCAAGGTTGAATAACTACATGGTAAGAGCTTAGTCCCGTGTCATAACATGGTAGAAAAGTAGAAATGTAGATGGGTCGATGTGGGAGAGACAAGAATTGAGGCTCAGCCTTGCTTTATAACAATCCACTGTTGAAATTACCAGTCCTGTCCCACAAGAGCAACGTTCTTCCCCTTCCCTCTTAATCACACTCATCTACTTAATGAGGTTGCTTAATATTATAAACATTTAGTCTTAAGAAAGATCCTATTTATATTATTTTGACCACATCTTTGTAAACTACTTTTCCTTACAGAACCTTTCCTCCTGTGTTTATTTCTGATTTTCTTTGACATTTTCTTTTTCTTTTTTTTTTTTTTTTGGCGGGGGGAGGGGGAGGTGGACTTGTTTTCCTTTTCCTTTAATTTTGTGCCAAATTGGTCCCCGGATCACACTGCACACAGATCTGTGTGGAAATGGTTGTGGTTTTAGTTAATCACAGAATTCTTTGCTCCATCCTGTCTGACCACTAATGGATGTTTCGCTTTTGACTGCACATTGTCCCAGAGCTATTGTTACCCACCCCAGGCATTAGTCATTAGAGCACAGACAGAGAAAGAAAAGAACAAAGCACTATGCACTCTTGACATGGGAACCACTAAATAGTCTTTTCTGGACCAGAAAAGAACTTTCATTTACTATGTAAGGTTTATATGATATATAATATCAGGCAACATGATTATTCTATTTTGCTTATGATTCTACAACATAATTTATTTTATCTTATTTTACTGTTTCAAAATTCATGACATTCTAAATGAAAAATATAGTACAAGAACTTTGGAGAACAAATAGATATTTGATTATAACACACTTTAGGACATATTAAAAGTTAAATCATCACATTCTAGCACTAAATTTATTTTAATAAAAATCTAGGTACAAAACTGTTTTTGCTTTTGGTGTAAGTTATTTTTAAAAACTCTTTATTTAATTGCTAATTCATTTGTAGTTTTAATTAATCATATAAAGAAATCCCATATAACCTCATCCCATTTTCCCTAATTATTTGGACAGCTCAACCAACTACAGTATAGTATCACACCAGGAAATTAACATTAATGCCGTTAACCAACTTTACTCAATGGGAAGTTATTTTTAATTTTTTCTTTTTTATCATTTTAAGAATTAATTTGAATTTATGAAAGCTCATCAATAAAAGGAAAATAGGACAAATGATTTGTTGGTTATCCTACCATCCACAGACAACCATAAAATATGTTGGTATTTGTATAGTTTGAATCAACTGTTAATGCAGTTTTATTAATTTATATTATGTTCCTATTGTTGACTATTCTCAACGTACATAATTTATATGAATTTTGACACCTTCCAGTTCTTTGTTTCAATATTCATACTAAAATATCCTTACATTTATTTTTATTTTTATCTCATAATTTAGGAAATATACTTGAAGGTCATATGGCTGGGTCAGTATGAATATCTCAAAGTTTTTAGAAATGTTATTAATAACTTCTGTGAACACTATTTTTTATTTTAATTTTTAGCAAGAAAACAAAATGGGGAAGAAATGTGAGCTCAAAGAATCACTGTGGTCAACTAAAGAAGAGGTATCTGTAAGGAAATTCTTTTGTATTTGACGTAATTTTCATGAAAATTTGACTTACAAGGATCACATCTTATTAGTTATATTCTTAGGATTAAATATTGCTTTGAATTTTAAATTCTGGACTGTTTCATGATTGTGCCTCCTATGGAAATGGATAAATCATACTATAATCATGATATAGTGTAGTGCAAAGAAAAGCCTGGGTGTAATTCTCTTCTCTACTGCAAAGATAAGTGACATTGCACAAGCCATTTTCACATTTATGAACCTCAGGTTCTTTGTTTGTAAGATGAGGTTAATGCTTTTCTAGAGGGGTTGTTGTTATATCAAGTTCAATAACAGATTTATAAATATAATATTTATAAATTCCAAAAAAATTAGGGTATTATTATTTAATTGAGGTCCTTCTTATATTCTGTCACTATCAGATGATCCTTTTCTTCTGGCTTTTCCCATTTTTCTTTTTTTCCTGTTTGTGACTATCTTAGACATGGTGGCAACTTTCATATGAATTATATAGTTCAGCAATTAAAAGAATTAAGATGGTTAGCCTTCAGCAGCTCTAACAATGCTGACCACTGAACAATTGAATGATAACAGGAAAAATCTTCAGATTTAGTAACTATTGACCTAGAATTTAAAAATACCTCATTTAATAAGGTATTATATTCAGAATTAATGATTAATTTTTTTGAGATATAAAAAATAACAAACTATTGAGACTTCAACAGTTTATAGATGAGAACATAGAATGTTTTCAAAGTTATAGAATCATTTTCTGGTTTTGAAATAGATGTTTTGATTTCAAATACAAAATTCAGGTACAAGAAATAAACCCCTCTTACTGTTTTGTTTTTCAAGTATTTTAACTTTTTTCTGTATATACCCAAATAACAAATAATTTTCTTTTTCCTTCTTATTTCTTCTAATTTATCCATTTTAACCCCATTTAAGAACAGTGATGACCTTCAGGACAATAGTGAGATGCTTCCAAGAAAGGTGTTACTGACTGAATTTAGATCATTGGTGGTTAATAATTCCACTTGCAGAGATCCATGTGTGGTGAATTATGATTATGGTCAAATAAAGAATTTCAAGAAATTCAAGAAGGTAGGTGTTTCTTTAACTGTGTCACAAGAGGGCAATGTTTGAAATGTTTTTAGAAATACCAGTGGCATTAAATAGTAATAAAAACAGTATGTTGAAAAATGATGCTGGTTTCTCCCACTTTAAAAAAAAATAAGAAGGACTAAACTAATAATTAATATATAGAACACCTAAAATGACAAAGATTTTATCAAGACTGAATTCTTTTTAGGTTGCTATTTACCTGGCATGTCCCATAAATACTAAGGATTTATTACTTATTTCCTAAAGTACAGTAATATCAGTGTACTTGATATGAAGTTTACATAGGATTTTTTTTTTACCCCTTTGTTTTTGAACAACTAAAATTTCAACTGAAAGTATAAATTGTTTCCATCTTCAAAATGCCCTGATAAGGAACTATAAACTGAAAAGTTTTGAAAAGACTTAAAATTTTAATCAGTGTTAGAAAGGGTGTAAACCTTGAAATCTTTGAAACAAAATACAGTGCTTTAAATTATAGTGTGTGTTCACTTTGGTTGCTTCAATTGCTAGATGATAACCTAAGGCCATTTGTAAATAAAAACTACAAACTAAAACTTTTAAATACATAAATACCAGTGACATGTCTAAATCTTGATATGGTAATAACTAGAGAAAAAAAAAACAGGTAAAAGCAGATGAGTCCAATAACAGTTTCCTTTGTCTCATTTGTAGGATCTAAACATCTTTGAAAGTTGTATAATCTTTGCTTTTTAATCTTTTTTTTATGGTCATCTTAATTTACTAACATGTTTAACCTCACTGCTGTTATTAACAGGTCATATTTCCTGGAGCAGGAAAGCTTCCACACATCATTGGAGGATCAGATCTGATAGCTCACCATGCTCGAAAGAATACAGAATTAGAAGAGTGGCTTAAGCAGGAAATGGAGGTTTGTACAAAATAAGGCCTCAAAACTTTTTGACTTGCATTTCAAGTCCTTTGCGGTTTTCTTAGAGCAGATTTCTTCTTCTTAAAACCAAACTTAAGTGACCTAAGGTCATTCAAAAATGTATTTCTAGAATACAGGGTATTAATATTAATCTGTGACATTTCCTTAAGGGAATTCTGTATTTATTTTTATATAATGTTTTTAGTTGTATATGGAAACAATGCCTTTATTTATTTTTATGTGGTGCTAAGGATTGAACCCAGTGCCTCACATGTGCTATGCAAGCACTCTACCACAGAGCTACAACTCCAGCCTCTAGATTTATTTTTATTGCTTAAAAAAAGTAGGACTTAAACAGATGAAAATATAACGTAAAGGGGGATAAAAGACTTAAGTCACAAAAATCTTAAAGGAAACTAAAGAATAATAATTAAAAGGTTGGCCATATATTCATATGGAAAATTATATATAATATATCAATGATGTAATATATAAATGAAATGTCCTTTTTATATCTAGAAATTGTGTTTCAACAGTTCTGCAATTTTCTCATTATTTTCTTGAACATTACCCTTTCCTTTATCCATATCTCTTTCTAGAACTTTAATTTGAAATAAGTTAAATTTTCTCACTGTCTTTCTCTGTTTGTTTCTCTGGATAATATTTTGATAATTTATTCAGATTTTCTTCCAGTTTACTATTTTTGTCTTTAGCTCTGGTTAGTATTGCACCCATTCATTGAGTTTTAAATTCAGTCTATTTCATTTTTTCATTATTAGAACTATGTTTCTTTCTTTTCTAAATCTTATTCTCTGCTGGTGTGTTTGCCTAATGATACCAAAGTGTTTCTTGATCTGTTTTTTTGCTCATAGGGTATTTTATTTCTGAGTATATCATTTGTGATCTTTGTATATGAACAGATCATTTTCCTCAAAATGTAATCTGTAGGATTTTCTGAATCCTAAACTCAAATTTAGGACTAAGATAATGCTTATGTCTGCCAGACCTGCGCGCCCCCACCCCCCCCACACACATACACACTTTTTTTTTGGAGTGCTGGGGATCAAACTCAGGATATCCTGTGTGCTAGGCAAGCACTCTATGCTACGCTACATCCCTAGTCCTAACTTTTAAGTTAAAATCTCTTCTTGTGATTGTTTTAGGTCACTCAAGTGTTTGTATATATTTACAGTAGAACAAGTGACAGCCAACTTGTCATTATAAACTTCAAGTGAGGGTTGGGGTTGTGGCTCAGCGGTAGAGGTCGCATCTAGCATGCACGAGGCCGTGGGTTAAAACTAAATAAATAAATGTGATATTAAAAAAAAAATACTTTAAGTGAGATTTTCATTCTTTCTTTCACCAAGTGCCAAAGTCAAAATAGGCAAGTTTTTTACCATCTCCTATTATTTCTTTTTCTCCCTATAGTACTGGGATCTGTAAAGTCCCTTAGGTTATCTTTCATATCACTCATATCCCATGCAGATATCAAATGAGATCAAATTTTTCTTGGTTTACAGATGAGGGCAAAAGCTGACTCTAGTACTTGTTAACTTGTCAGGGTTCCTTTTCTTGCTTTATTGTGGGCATAGTGTACCTTTAGTGATTCATTTTTAAAAACACATTTTTTAAATCAGGGATTTTTTTTTTTTTTTTTTTTTTGGTGGAAGAGGGCTGTACCATCCCTGGAAGTATTGCAGTACCAGGTCACTATGTGACAGAGATATCTCCTTTTCCATCTCCTATTTTCAAAAATCCATTTAATATGATGTCCTCTAATAGAAGACATATCACATATTCGACTAACCAGAACAGATATTACATTCATTTTAGACAAAGGCCAAGAAATACTGAAGTTATTTTGTATAAGGGTTAGGAAGGTTTCTCATAAAAGTAAAGATATTAGGAAGATCACTCACAAGATTTATTGTCAAAAATTAAAGAATGGAAGTCATATCCACTCTTCTTTTTTGAAATAATAATTAGCTTTATGATTTTATAGCTGTGCATTCTTTATTTATTTATTTATTTTTATTGTTGGTTGTTCAAAACATTACATAGTTCTTGATATATCATATTTCACACTTTGATTCAAGTGGGTTATGAACTCCCATTTTTACCCCGTATACAGATTGCAGAATCACATCAGTTACACTTCCATTGATTTACATATTGCCATACTAGTGTCTGTTGTATTCTGCTGCCTTTCCTATCCTCTACTATCCCGCCTCCCTTCCCGTCCCCTCCCCTCTTCTCTCTCTACCCCCTCTACTGTCATTCATTTCTCCCCCTTGTATTATTTTTTCCTTTCCCCTCACTTCCTCTTGTATGTAATTTTGTATAACCCTGAGGGTCTCCTTCCATTTCCATGCAATTTCCCTTCTCTCTCGCTTTCCCTCCCACCTCTCATCCCTGTTTAATGTTAATCTTCTTCTCGTGCTCTTTGTCCCTACTCTGTTATTAGTTACTCTCCTTATATCAAAGAAGACATTTGGCATTTGTTTTTTAGGGATTAGCTGGCTTCACTTAGCATAATCTTCTCTAATGCCATCCATTTTCCTCCAAATTCTATGATTTTGTCATTTTTTAATGCAGAGTAATACTCCATTGTGTATAAATGCCACATTTTTTTTATCCATTTATCTATTGAAGGGCATCTAGGTTGGTTCCACAGTCTTGCTATTGTGAATTGTGCTGCTATGAACATCGATGTAGCAGTGTCCCTGTAGCATGCTCTTTTTAGGTCTTTAGGGAATAGACCGAGAAGGGGAATAGCTGGGTCAAATGGTGGTTCCATTCCCAGCTTTCCAAGAAATCTCCATACTGCTTTCCAAATTGGCTGCACCAATTTGCAGTCCCACCAACAATGTACAAGAGTACCCTTTTCCCCATATCCTCGCCAGCACTTGTTGTTGTTTGACTTCCTAATGGTTGCCAATCTTACTGGAGTGAGATGGTATCTTAGGGTGGTTTTGATTTGCATTTCTCTGACTGCTAGAGATGGTGAGCATTTTTTCATGTACTTGTTGTTTGATTGTATGTCCTCCTCTGAGAAGTGTCTGTTCAGGTCCTTGGCCCATTTGTTGATTGGGTTATTTGTTATCTTATTGTCTAATTTTTTGAGTTCTTTGTATACTGTGTATATTAGGGCTCTATCTGAAGTGTGAGGAGTAAAGATTTGTTCCCAGGATGTAGGCTCCCTATTTACCTCTCATTGTTTCTTTTGCTGAGAAAAAACTTTTTAAACTATCTTTTGCATTTTCTGTTCCCATATCTCTCTCTCTCTCTTTTTTTTTTTTTTTGGTTCTCTTTATTATGTGAAGTAGCTTTATTATTTTCTTTCATCTTTAGTTGTTCAAAATGAAATGTTTTAAACAGACATTCTCTTTGCTAAGCAAAGCATCTTGTACAGTTTTATTTGGGTGTTACATTCTAAAGCCAGTGAGTAAGGCAAAAATTGAGTGTAATCAAAATTATTCATAACCCTCCTAGCATACCCTTAGCCAACAGAATTGCCCTGGTGCCTATCAGTGAAATAATCAAAAGCACATTGCATGTCCCACATAGCTTCTGTTACCTGGAAACACTGAGTCAGAAAAAGGAAGGACTCAACCGGAGTTGTGTGCTGCTTTTATTGAAAAGCTAAGCTAGCTCTCTTCCGAGATTTGAATTAAATAGCCTGTATTGGGAGTGCATTCTGTCCCAAAAGAGAATAACCAAGCGTTTTAGGTTGGTCATTTCACTTATCAAGAATCCTGGAACTTATGCCTTTGATCATTATCTGTTCTACTTCTTCACCTCCTGTGACAGTAGACCCTTTCTAACAGACTGCCAGCAATGTTTTCCCTTCTCAGGCTACCTTTTCCCCAAATTTGGTACCTTGGCAAGAATTTTCAGATGTGGCCAGTTCTATACCCCTTTTTAATAGGTTGGGACAGCACTGGTAATGATGTGCATTAAAATCTTTTGGTTCTTTACAAAGCTGTATTTTTTTAGTATGTGGTGTAGGATTGTACTCAATTCATTACTGCAGTTGTTTTGTTTGGTTGGTTGGTTTGGGGATGGGAGAGGAATTGGGAAAATTTCATTAGGAATTAGAGGTGCTTCTGTGTTCTAGCATTTATACCATTGACTTTCTTTTTTTGCTAGAGCGAAAGCACCTGGGGAGGATTTACTCTATAAAGCAAGTTTTCTTCTGCTGTGTGTCTACTTCATATATACATAAATATCATATTGTATCTTACTTCCCTAAGTTTGCCCCACTACTACTTTTTTCCCTTCTCACAGGATTAGGTAGGGATTGAACACAGGAATACCACTGAGCCACATCACCAGCCACCACCACCCTTTTTAAAAATATTTTTTAAATTTGTTATAATTAGTTATACATGACAGTAGAATGTCTTTTAACACTTCATACATAAGTGGAGTATAACTTCTCATTTGTCTGGTTGTACATAATGTTACACAGGTCATGTAACCATACAGGCCCATAGGATAATAATATCTGATTCATTCTACTGTCATTCCGCTATCCCCATGCCCCCTCCCCTCCCTTCACTCCTCTCTGTCTAGTCCAAAATTCCACTGCCCTTTATTGTGAATTACCATCTGCATATCAGAGAAAACATTCAGCCTTTGGTTCTTTGGGATTGGCTTATTTCACTTAGCAAAATATTCTCCACTTCCAATCCAGAGTACTGAATTTTCATTTAGTAAAAGAATTCTGCTGGAATGAACATTTAAAAGTTCAGCAAGCTAGCAATCTATGTTGGTTGCCTTTCAGAGCAGTTGGCTGGAGAAAGTTGTTTAATTAGCAATTTTGCAATAATAATCTTAGCATGAAGTGAAAATAGAAACTGTTGAATGGGAGAGATGTTGAAGAGGCAAGATTTATAGTATCTCAGATGTGGAAATCATAAAGACAGATTACCAAAACCTGTTAACAGGGCTGGGGTTGTGGCTCAGTGGCATAGCTCTTGCCTGGCACATGTGAGGCACTGGGATTGATCCTCAGCACCACATAAAAATAAATAAACAAAAAGATATTGTGTCCATGTATAACTAAAAAAAAATTTTAAAACCTGTAAATATAATAATTCTTTAAATTCACTACTAAGCAAATGTTTGAAATTCTGTTAACTTTGACAGGTACAAAAACAACAAGCTAAAGAAGACTCTCTGGCTGATGATCTCTTTAGGTAAATTATTGATTCACCTTTCTTATATACCTTTGAGAGATGTGTATAAAAAATTAGTTTTGTTCACAGAGATTAAAAATCTGTTTCTTCTTAGTCCCTCACCTAAAGAATATTATTTTACATATATATTTCTTTTTATTATTTTCACCTCAGTAAACATAATTATGTTTACTGGATATACCATCAAGGTTTGGGGTTGATTAAATTGTATTATAAGATATAGAAAAAAATTGTATGGGGCATTTAGGCAAAATGAAGTTTATACTGGGTAAATTTGTGACTTGCTTAAGCTCTGAGAAGAATTATGAATGAATGGGTTTGAATTTAGAAGTAAATGCCAAACCACATGTTTAGTTTTAATGGGCACATAAATAAAAACAAAGGATGGATTAGGATTTCAGAGGAGATCATTCAAGTTCAGGGTGGTATGGCCATAGGCTGGATTAAGATTTCAAAGCAAGTTTTTGTGAGAGGCTTTAGGAGAGGTAAAATGGGTGATTATAATATAATCTGATTTAACACATTTTCACCATTTGTGGAGGCCCAACAAACCTTATAATAATTGCCTCTCAAAAACTAATAAAATACTATATAGATGGTACCTGCTGGCTAACAGAGAATAACATTTTCCCAAACTTACTTAAATACTATATTTTTAAGTATTTTGCAGCCAATTTTATGATTCTCTAATTTCACATTTGACATTATAAATGGCTGATAAAAATGTTGACAAACAATACTGATTTTTCATAAGTAATCAAATGAGACTATCTGGTTTCCCAGGTGTATTTACTTCATGGCTACAGGAGAAAACTTTGTTAAAAAAAAAAAAGTAATTATATTTAGGTTGATTATGCTCTTTTGTGTGAATGTTGCACTTTAATTTGAGGAAAGGCAGATGTGGGACCTATTTTGATGCTATACTAGATTTTTAATATCTTTAATTATTTTAATGCTTTAAACAATTTTTTGTTATTGGTGATACTTGTCTTTTACTAAATATTCATCAAAGCAATATCAAGAGAAAAAAACAAATAAAAATGTATTTGTTTTCTGATTCGGAGGACAAAAATTACCATTTTCATCTAATTTGTCAAAGTGTGGCTGTAGTTGGAAATCCCTTTAACTTTAAAGGCAAAAGAAATGGGATCACTTATCTAAATGAACACCATTTCTTATTTTGCAGATACAATCCTAATGTAAAAAGGAGAAGATAATTGAGAACTTTAAAAGGAAGCTGTGGAAACAGATTTCCTAACAAGCATTTACTTCATGCTAACAGGGATGTCTCAATGGTGTATAGCAGAGATTTAAGTCCAAAGTACTCCATGTCCTAAATTTATTAAATAAAGTGCCCAAAACTCCATTTGTTGTGTATGGTAATGAATATAGTTTGTTCTGTTTTCATGCTTTTGTCATTTCATTCTCATGATAATTTTTTTCTATTTTTAAAATGTTTACTTTTTATTCAATGGTTAATATAAACATAGTCCAAAATCTTAAAAGTACATAAGGGTAAGGACAGTGTCCCTTTACTATCCATCTAGCTATTACAGAAAAAATCCATGATACTCATTTCTTGTGAGTCTTTCCAGATTTTTAATTTCTGTTCAAATTCCTATGATTGTCATTTTTGTTCATTCCTATACAGATGACAGCATTACACAGTGTTGCACCTTGCTCTTCACCTAATGTATTTGAAGATCTTAAACATATCAATGTAATTTTATAATTTTTTTCTTTTATACTGACTGAAGGCTTCCTGGTTCATGCAAGTTTTGCCACCCTATTAATATTACCTTTTTTTAGGTTAAGAGTATAAGATGCATAAGTTAGTACATATAGTATCGAGATCTTATGAAAGATTCAGTGTTCATATGCAGTCAAAAAAGAAGTCACCACATTTAAGTGTTTGTCCATGATACCCTTTGACCTGCCCTGAGAATATACTCTTTTTTAATGGAGATAGTTTATAAACATCATAGGTCTTTGTTTTATTCTCACCTTTCATTTTACTTTCAAATTCTTTTGTTTAGGAAGCATTATTAAACATGCAAAGCACTGCCCTCTACAACACTGAAAGAACTCAAAGATTAAAAATTAAGGGTCTGTATTTGGACCTGATGGTCTGTTGTTAAGACTCTTTTATAAGTTTTTTAAGTGGATGGACGTGTTTCCCACTGTTTTGCACCATTCCATCTTTATAATATGGTTCTGAACAACTTGAGTCACAGACTTGCTTAACTGGGGTTTGTAATTTTCCCCCTGGCTTTGTTGGGAACTCCTCTTTTCTAACTCTTTTATATGTTTTAGGAGAAAGAAGGAGAAGGATAATGCACCACTTTTCTTCATTAGATGAATGGGAACTGTGACCAGCCCCAATTCTACCCTAAGGATTTAGGTGCTAAGGATCAGTTTAGCTTCCCAATGGCAGGGAGGAAGTGATCTGTCTTTGGCCACAATCTGACAATTACCATTCCCCAGCAGGCTTCATGCCAGTGGCACACCCTCTTCTCAGGGCACAGCTTACTTACTATTCAGGATTATATTTCCCCCCAGACTTCTTCCTGATTCTTTAGCTAAGGCTTTGTGGTTGGTCACACTGGAAATCTACATCTGATTATCTGAATTAGGATCATGACCCAAATTCCTTAAGAGACTGAAGTAAATTGGGACCTGGATAATGTCTTCTCAAGGCTCTGTATAACTTCCATTTTGAATGCTTTTGCCTTTTTTGTCAAACAGATGACTCAAAGTTTATAAGAATAAAAGTATTGAATCAGACCACTTCCCTTTAAAGATGATGATAGCTAGTACGTAAATGTGTTGGAAGGTATTTTACTGCTTTGAACTGTAGAATTGAATTGCTTCTTGATCTGGCACTATCCAGGCTAGCCTCCCAAACTAGGAGAACAGCACTTCTTTAAAAGGAAGCATCAGCTTTCTTAGCAAGTTGAGAGAATTTAAACATCAGGATAAGAGGTGTGGATTTTATTCCATAGAAAGTGGGGGAGTTGTTGACACTTTCCAAACAGGAATTTCAAAATAGGTGTGCTAATTTTACATAAGCTGTATGAGGAAATGGAAGACACAGACATTTCTACACTGAATACTAACTGAAGAAACTAATCACTATCTTAGTCAGGAAAAGATTATAAGGAGTTAGAAGTTTAAAATGGTTAGACTTGGAGCAGGTTCTAGTCAGGGTCTTCATTTAAAATTCCAGGAAAATTTTTGAACAGACCTATGTAAGTAATTGTTACCTCTGAGGCCTCAATGGAGTCCCAAGTTCAACAATAGCTCCATGTACCTATGATTTAGAGAGAAGGAAACTCCAGTTAAGAATCAATACTACTAATCAGTTTTCTGGAGAAACAGGAATGGAACAATGCTACTGCCATGACTTCCCTTATAATTAGAAATAGCAAAAGGGACAAGAAGCTGGTTTCACCTTCCCTCTATTTGCCAGAACCTAATTAACCAATTTTTGCAAGTTCAGACTATTTGCAGGTAGAACTCTTGTAGCTGCAAGGGAGTCAGTCACATAGTTTATAAGCTTTCTTGGCCTTCCTAGAGAATGGAATGGGGTGAGCCAACCTACAATTTCTACTATAGGCATAATGATCAATTAAAAAATTGTTGAAATAGTCTAGGATATTGTGAACACTTTAATTGGATTTTTTGTTTAATTTTTTATTCTTTTTAGTTATATATGACAGTAGAATGTATTTTGACATATCATTACATGTAGTATTAACTTTCCATTTTTGTGGTTGTACATGATATGGAGTTAAACTGGTCGTGTATTCATCATATAAGAACATAGGAAAGTCATGTATGATTCAGTCTACTGTCTTTCCCATTCCCATTCATCTTCCCTCCCTCCCCCCTGCATCCAATCTGGTGAATCTCCACTTCTCCCTTCCCCCTGCCTATTATGAGTTAGCATTCACATTGGAAGCTATATATGAATTATGGGTTTGTTTGAGTCATCATAAGGCAGGGAGTTTGCTTTTCTGGGAACTCCTGGGTGAAATTCCCCAGTTTGAGAAAGCCCAGATCATGCTGGCGCCCTGCCTTAGCTCACAGCCCTAGGTTCAAATGAAGTCGCCCAGAGATGGGCATAACCTGCCAAGCCCCAAACAACTTGTTTTCCCCATTTTCACCCTGTTTTCCTAAAGAAGCTTCTCACTGAATCCCTTTGGTGTTTCACTATAAATAAAGCATTCTTAGCACAACATGTTGAACATTCTTTCATATATTTGTTGATCGATTGAATTTCTTCATCTGTGAAGTGTCTGTTCAGTTCCTTAGCCCATTTATTGATTGGGTTATTAGTTTTTGGTGTTTTTTTTTATTTTTTATATTTGTTTTAATTAGTTATACATGACAGTAGAATGCACTTTGATACATCATGTATAATGGAATATAACTTCTCATTCTCCTGGTATACATGATATAAAATCCCACAAGTCATATGGTTTTATATGTACATAGGGTAATAATATCTGAGTCATTCTACTATCCTTACCCTCCTACCTCCACCCCTCCCTTCACATCCCTATACCTAAAGTAACTATTCTTAGATGAATGGATAAAGAAACTGTGTTACATATACACAGTGGAATATTACTTAGCATTAAAAGAGAATAAAATTATGGCATTCGAAAGTAAATGGATGGAGTTGGAGAATATTATGCCAAGTGAAATGAGCCAATCCCAAAAAATCATAGGCCAAATATTTTCTCTGATAAGTGGATGCTGATCCATAATGCAGTGGTGTGGGTCGGGAATGGAGGAACTTTGGGTAAAGGGGAGGGAGGAAAGATGGTGGAATGAAATGGGCATTGTTACCCTAGGTACATGTATGACTGCACATATGGTGGGATGCTACATCCTGTACAGAGAAATGAAAAGTTGTGCTACAATTGTGTACAATGAATCAAAATACATTCTGCTGTCATATATACCTAACTAGAATGAATAAACAAATTTTTAAAAAATAAAGTAACTATTCTCCCTAGTCCCTTCCTCTTTGTAAAATAGTATTCTCATATCAGAGAAAACATTTGTCTTTTGGTTTTTTGTTTATTTGTTTATTTTTAGTTGTAAATGGACACAATAACTTTATTTATTGGTTTATTTATTTTTATGTGGTGCTGAGGATTGAACCCAGTACCTCACACATGCTAGGCAAATGCTCTACCACTGAGCTACAACCCCAGCCCTTTATTTATTCTTTTTTAAATATTATTTTAGTTGTTGATGGACTTTATTTATTTTTATGTGGTGCTAAGGATCGAACCCAGTGCCTCACACGTGCTAGGCGAATGCTGTACCACTGATCCACACCCCTAGCCCTGTTTATTTCAAGCTTTTATTTTCAGCCAGCCCTCATCTGTGACAATTACCTACTCCCTCCCCAAGCACGCTGTGGCCAAGACTTAGGATTTGGGGGATTGGCTTATTTCACTTAGCATAAAAGTCTCCAGTTCCATTCATATACTAGCAAATGCCATAATTTCATTCTTCTTTAAGGCTAATATTCCATTGTGTATATATACCACATTTCCTTTATTCATTCATCTGTTGAAGGACTCCTAGGTTGGTTCCATAGTTTGGCTATTGTGAGTTCAGCTGCTGTAAACCTTGATGTGGCTGTGTCATTGTAGGGTGCTGATTTTAAGTACTTTGTGTATAAATCTAGGAGTGGGATGACTGGGTCAAGAGTGGTTCCATTTCAAGTTTTCTGGGAAATCTCCATACTTCTTTCCATAGTAGTTGCACCAATTTGCAGTCCCACCAAGCAATATATGCCTTTTCCCCCACATCCTTACCAACATTTACTGTTATTTGTATTCTTGATAATTGTCATTCTGACTGGAGTGAGATGAAATCTCAGTGTAGTTTTCATTTGCATTTCTCTAGTTACTAGAGAAGCTGAACATTTTTCCATAAATTTGTTGATTGATTGAATATCTTCTTCTGAGAAGTATCTGATCAGTTCCTTAGTCCATTTATTGATTGGGTTGTTTGGTTTTTTGGGAGGTGTTAAGTTTTTGTTGTTGTTTGTTTTTAATTTCTCAATTTTCTTTATTTTTTATTTTACATTTATTTATTCTAATTTGTTATATATGACAGCAGAATGCATTTCAATTCATAGTACACATATACAGCACAATTTTTCATGTCTCTGGTTGTACACAAAGTAGAGTCACACCATTTGTGTCTTCATACATGTACTTAAGGTAATGATGTCCTTCTCATTTTTACCATCTTTCCTACCTTCATCCCTCCTCCCTTCCTCTTCCTCTCCCTTACCCCATCTAAAGTTCCTCTATTCCTCCTATGCACCATCCCTACCTCTGTTATGGATCAGCATC